GTCTGCTCACTGCTTGGCCCTTGCACAGGCATCTGGATCCTCTTGGAATCACTACTCCCCAGTGCCTTCTCCTGGACTTTGTAGTCCCTCTTACTTGAAGTCTGTCTTCCGCAGTCTCTGCACTTCCTGGCTTTAGTTTCTAGTGAGGTCTGTGGTATGTATATCCATGTTTATGACATTGTAGAAGTAGCCCGGGCTGGAATTGCCTCTACTGCTGCAGGCAGTAGTGGTGTTCAGAAGGGAGGTGAGAAGCTGTGTTTGTGTGTGTCTCACAAAATAGACTGATACTCTCTAACCGCTTTGTTTTTACTTCGTCTTCTGTTGACTTCACAGTGTGAGTGCAGTTTGTGTGAACATCTCTACTGGTTTATGCATCCTATGGTGCCTAAATATAAGTATTTATGAACATATAAAGCCTGCATATGTGGATAAACTCTCCTTACATATAATTTATTTATCCATCATTACACATCTGTGGTGTCTAGCTGATTCCTCTGTCTTATTTTCTGCCACTGCACCCACCTCTACTTGAATGTGTATGAAATATTTTATTATAAAAATATACAAATTCTGTGTTTACTTTGTGTTTTTTCTCTCACTGTGGAGCCTCCTCCCCGCTGGGGAGTCACTGTGGCACCAGCGGGTCTCCAGGCCCTTTGGGAGGCCCCGGCTGCTCCCTGACTTCTGCTCTGCCTTCTCTGGCCAACTCTGTTGGAACAGAAGCTGTTGCCTGCTAGCCTATGGCTGCAGGGACATAGCAGAGGTGTGGGCAGCCATCTCTTACCCTCGAACCCCAGAGTTCCCACATGAGTATTTTACTGGTGTTTCTTTCCGAGGACAGGATTGTGCACATTTTCCTCATCTCACTCTTTCTTTTTAAGAGTTTATTTATTAATTTTGAGAGAGACGGAGATGGTACAAATGGGGGAGGGGCAGAGAAAGAGAATCCCAAGCAGGCTCCTCACCATCAATGCAGAGCCCGACATAGGGCTTGAACCCATGAAGAAGCTGTGAGGTCATGCCCTGAGCTGAAACCAAGAGTTGGACGTTTAACCCACTGAGCCACTCAGGTGCCCCCCCTCATCTCACTCTTGAAGGCTGTTTCCTCCACTTATTTATTTACCCCATTTGCCCATCATGTGCTGATGTCACTCATGCCACCCTCCCATCTGTGCATAGGATGGGAAAGGCTCTACACTTGACTCTTTCGTAGGTTTTTTTTTTTTTTTTTTTTTTTTTAAATTTAAACAATCTGATATCAACCCCTGAATATACCTTCCAGGGGTAACTGTCATCTTCCACATCTAGTATGATCCTTTGTGTACCCCCCTCCCCAAGGACTGTCTCTGTAATGACTTTACGCACAAACTGCACTTCTGCCCCCTACGTTCCCATAAGTGCCCCCACCCACCCTCATCTGATTATTTCTTCACTCTCTCATATCCTTGTTTTCCTGTTCATTTTCTGACCTAAGAGGTGATTGCTAGCTCCTTAGTTTTCTGCCTCTGCCTTAATGTCTAAGTCATAGATTACTTTCAGGCTAAAAACTTCCCTCTAACCATCATTTTTACTCATGATCATTCACTGGAAATTAATTTTTAATGATTTGACTTTTTGGTGATTTAGACTCACCCACACCCCCTCACTGTCCAGTTATGGAGTTTTGTCCTTCCCTTTTTGTGATCAGTTTTATTTAAACTTTCTGAGTTTATTCCAACTAGAATTTCCTCCTATAGTGCTTTTGGGGAGGCACTGTTTTTAAGATCTCTGGGTGCCAAAGTAGCCTTATTCTAGTATTTTCACCATTGTTTCTTCCAGTGATTTAATAGATTGCAGATCAATTTCTTCTTTGTCATCAGTGACACAGTAGTTTGTCTGGCTTTTAATTTCAAAGAATATTTCTTCAATTTTTTTCTTCTTAATTGATTTTCCTAGATGGGCATGACTAGTTTTTTTTTCCCCCACTGTGTTTATAATTTAAATGGATTTTCACATCTCTGAGCCTCAGAGTGCAATTAGGAGTATGGGAAGTAGGACTCCTCAAAGCACAGAGATTAAATCTCAAAGCTCTGAGATTTATTAAGGAAACTCAGGTTCAAGATAAAGGGGTCCTGCAAACTGAGGGTTGATGGGGGGTGGGAGGGAGGGAAGGGTGGGCGATGGGTATTGAGGAGGGCACCTTTTGGGATGAGAACTGGGTGTTGTATGGAAACCAATTTGACAATAAATTTCATATATTGAAAAAAATTTTTAAAAATTAAAAAAAAAAAATAAAGGGGTTCTGCACTTTAATTCCAACTGTGGGTTTGGGGGGGGGGGGGGGGGGGGGGGGGGGGGGGGGGGGG